AAAGCAAGTTGTTGGCTGCGAGTGGGAGAAAGAGCTTTCGGCGAAATGGCAGCTGCTCGAGCAGCGAGGCGTGGGGTGGGCAGGGGGGGGGGGGCACACTCAAGGCAAGTCCAGATGGATGTAATCTCACGGGACGTGAGGAGGCTCCCTCGTTTGGCCGCTCTGTTCAAAGAGAGGCGTATGGTCTTTGCGGGCCTGCCGAGTTGGACTTGCGGTGCTGCTCCCGTTTATTTTTCACAAAGCGAAACACTTGGCCCTATAAAAATTGATGAGGAGGTAACATTTGAACTTCAAAATCACCCCCATTAACGACGAGTTAACGAGTCTACGCCACGCCTAACCGCAGAAGTTGGCACCGTAGTGACTATACATTACACAAAACCACACCATTCAGTTTTGAAAAAACTAGATGTGCCAGGTCTAAACTGCATCGAGCGCAACTGCATCGTAAAAAGCCTCTTAAAACTGACAGCGTGTTTAAATTTGTCTTTAAATAATATCTTCAGGGACAGAATTGTACTGCAGAAGGGGTCTGTATCGCAGCTGAGTAAAACTGGGTGATTTTCAATTGAGTTTAAATAAATCGTCAAAAACAAGCGAAAAATAAGTCGGTCGCGTAGCCTAGTGGGTGTGTTACAACCAAAGGTTATACAACGTACCCGATGCTTTGCGCTTTGGCTCACAGGACGCGCCGCATCACGCCCAGTGGGGCAGCGAGGGCCTTGCCGATGTTCACGGCCGTGCTCCCGACGCACGCTCCAACGAGCATGAATCGGGATTCCCTTCCCCCCGACCCCGAAGGGCCTCCGTGCCTCCCTCGGGGGGGTGGGTTGCGAATCTGTTAGTACGAGAGAGAAAGAGAGAGAGATAGAGGCGGCCCTCTTAAACAAGGTGTAAACACAGAAAAAAGGTCACGCCGCAAGGGCGTCTTAATAATTTTTTGTCCACACGTTTAAGGCTTGTAAACAAACTGCCTCATTCACGGCTTACTGGTTTCTGCGGGTTTCTGTGAGCGAGCTACACGCGTACGCGCACGCATTTTATAATGCGCCATCTTTGAAGAAATTTCGTTTCATACTGGCTCATTAATAGTCCGTACACGGTAAAAACAATGTCTCAGTTTTTTGGGGGGAAAGGGATATACTTTTAGGAACTCTCATACTTTTGAGGAAGAGTCCTCCGATCTCGCCTCAGATTTTGAGGAATCTCAAAAAATAAGGAAAAATTCCGCATTTTTTGTTAATTGGGCTTCGTGTTACTTGGGAAAAGAGCAGAAGATGGGAGGGGGTGGGAGGCACTTTACACTCTGGTAGAGACAGTCTTTGGGCGCTGCCTTAAAATGTAGGGCGCACGACGAGCAGTCTCCCCCGCCCCATGCGCGTCGCACGGAGCCCCTGTGATGCGCGGGCTAGGCCGCCCGCCTGCACGCGGCCTGAGCGGGCGGCCTACCCCGCACCCCGCAGGCGGCGGAGCGCCGGCTGCTGGACGTGTGTACGATTGCGGGCCAAACGGACGAGAGTGAGAGAGAGAAAGAGAAAGAGAGAGAGAGAGAGTAAGAGAAAGAAAGAAGGGGGGGGGAGTCCAGAGTGGTACCCGATTGGGCTTTAAAAAAAGAGGAAGTAAAATAATAGATGACTGCTTCAGCCACGTTCGTTTAATCTCGCAGCTGCTAGGGATTAGTTGAGGCCCGCATTGGCGCACAAAAAGGCCATCATTTAAAATTATCGTGATATCGATGTTTCTGCTACTGCTCGCTACTGCTGCAGCGGTGACGGCACGCTGCTGTTACTGCTGCTGCTGCTGCTGCTGCTGCTGCCGTGGCGACTGTGCTGCGTGCGCCAAGTGCTGTGCCCGCCTGGTCCGCCCGGGCTGTCACCGCTACACCAGAGCAGCTCACAGCTGCACACACACGGTCCGCCCGGCGCGCCCTCGCGGTGGTGGTGGTAGTGGTGGGACACAGCCCCCCGTACCTTCTCCGTGCGCGCGTCCTTTGCCGCTGCTCCCACTATTTGGTCCCAGGAGGTGGACCGGCTCCTTGCTCGAGTGTGGTGTCGTATTTCGCGGGACGTTGTCGCTCCTTTGAGACTGGACCCCCCTTCCCCTTTTCCGCTTCCCCCCGCCCCTCTCCCTCACGCTCTTCCTCTACGGCGTTTCTCCCCCTACCGCATGACATATTTGAAGGCATTTGACATTGCATACACCACAAGTACTTTAAAAGTTCACTACGCGGAAATTTGGCGATTCCTTGGGGTTCCGAGTTTCAATTTTTTCGTGTTTTTTCCTGTCAAAGTTACACCGTGTTACACTGTGTGTAAATTTAAAACGTACTTTTTTCGACTTTTTGGCATGATTGGGGTTGGGGTTAATTTTTGAGTCGTCAGTTATTTTTTAATTATTATTTTTTTTTTGCAAACGTGTAAGCGCTCAGACAGACTCCGACATTCGTGAGACTAAGAAGAGGTTCTGTAAAGCCGTCTCTAGCTGACTGTGTGAGCGCTGAAGAGTCCTGTAAAGCGATAACGAAAAGGGGGGGCATGGGAGCTGGAGAATTCTCCCGTTCTCGTGAAATTGCGGGTCCCTGCGTTGGACGGGGCCGACCCTGTGAGGAACACCCCAGTTGTCACTCGTCCCGCCGGAATGGAGAGAAAATCGTCTTGCAGTCGTCCTTCTGAGCGGCGGCCCGGTGGCCCGGCCAGCAGCAGCAGAGCTCTGCGGCCTTCAGCCTCACCCCTCCTGGCCCACTGAGGGACCTTGTTCTCCGCGCTCGGAGCCTTCCAGCGCAATATGGCGCGACGAAATCAAATTAGGCTCAACGCAATAAATGAAAATCGGGAGGATAAAAAAGATAAGAATAACTTTTGGAGAGCTGTAACGCCCGTCATATTGACGGCTGCTGGTACACTTGTATCAATAGCGGTGCCAGCAGTCCCCAAAACTCGTACACTACCGTCATCTGGGGCTACTTTGGCCCACTTTTGAACTTTGAGCCCCTGTGGACTTAAAACCAGGTGTCCCAGAGATGTGAGTTTTTGGCATGAGTCAGGTCTGTGGTTCGACTCGACAATGGGCCTACCAGAATTTTTTTAAATGCATCTGGCTCTTTATAAAAAATTAAAAATGGGGTGGGCAAAGCCGCCCCCGTCGGAGGGGCCACTTTGGCCCATCTACTACTTTGTGGTCTTTTCTCCACATTACCAAGTAAATTCACCCAGATTCCATTTCTAGACTATCTCTAAAGCATTCGATGTCTATTAAGTCCCAAATTTGAAATAAGTTTATGCTCTCAAGTCGAAAAAATCTCGATATTTTTTCACCAAGGCATTTTTGCACCATTTTTCATGTATTTGTGATAGGAATCGTAGAAATCAATAGAAATTCGTGTATTCCTGAAAAATATTATCCCAACCGCTAATGTCGTCTATGAGTTACATAAACACATTCAAAAAAGGCAAAAATATTTTTCCCCTGAGGGTCTGTACATCAAAACCAACGTGGCCAAAGTCACCCCGCTCACGTCCTCAAAAGTGCACTACTTCTTCTTTTTCATCTTAGGTCACAGCCATGGTCAGATAGAGGCCGGAAAAAATTATGCACGCCTACCAGACACATATACCAACCAGAAAAAATATACACTGCGGCTCTGGGACGTCCAGAACCGTTGGTGTAAATAAAAGTTTCCGGTTTACAAAAAAATGCTGAAATAATCAAACTGATAAAAAGCCATAAAATCGAGTGTAAATAGGTCGGAGGTACGCTAGAAGCATTTTTAATTGTTAAAACATACATTTAGCTTCAAAACAAGACCAATAGCGACTTTCTATCTTATCTAGAACTTATTTTATACAGGATTGAAACAAAAATTCTGGGTTCGGGCCAAAGTCACCTCGCAGGGCCAAAGTAGCCCCAGATGACGGTACTACCTTGGACTTGGAAGTGACCACTTCTGCTTAAAAAGCAATAAGCTTCAATAAATAGCTTTGTTTTCCAATCGGGAGTAGTTTGCTCTAAATGCAACGAACGGGACATTTTCCCGCAGCTGTTTTGAGCGCCGCCGTGCCTCACTGTTAAAAATTGAAACAGTAATTTATACTACGCCGAATGGTCTGGTAATTTCTGGAGCAGTGTGATCCTGTAGGATAGACTGTACCTTATATACTGGAAGAGAGTTCTTTTCAAGCACGGTCAAGTCTGCCCCCCCCCCCCCTCCAACAAAAAACAAAAACAAAATCAAAACAAAAAAAGACCCAGATTCGAACAGATTATGACCGTAGTCAGAAAAGTAAGGAGCAGGATCCTGATGGATTTCTGTTTCTGGGTTACGGAATTTTTTTGAACAGTGGCTGCTGCTGTGGGTTTAGCGTTATTACCACCAACAGCGGAGGCAGCCGCGGACGTTCATCAAAATTTAGATTTAATTACGAGGAACGCCGGCTGATTTGCCGGTGAAGTGGGCCGCCTGTCTGTCTGCACGTCTGCGGTGGCCAATCTGGGCGGGGCGTGGCGGGGCGTGGCGGGGCGGGGCGGGGCGGGGCGGAGCACCCTGCTGGTAGTTTGGTGCGGTGCGCGACCCCATACCACCGCCGCCGCCGCCGCTCGGCCTGCCGCTGGCAGCCGGGGCCACTTGAACCGGACAGATATTACTGCAGACTGCAGGTGCAACGGGCGGGCAGCGCGGGCCCCGGTCCGGCCGCTTGCTGAGCTGTCCACTGTGATGTCCGCTGCTGTCCGTGAAGTGGACAGGGCGTTGGTGGTGGGAGCTAGTGCGCGTGGCTACGACGAGAAATATTGGGAGAGCACGTATTACGCTGCTTGAAATAAAAGTGTGTTGAGGAAATTTGTATTTAATAAGTTGTCTGGGCGTTCTGTTTGTGCCCTTAAGATGATGATCTTTCCAAACTATTTCAGAACGGTCTGAACCGGATCTGGAATCCATACTGTCGTGTGTGTTACTACTGTTGCATATCTGACGAGTGTGTTTCTTTCCTTGTTTGCAGCGTCGCGCATTCGATACGAGATCACGAGCGGTAACATAGGCGGCGCTTTCGCCGTGAAGAACATGACGGGCGCCATCTACGTGGCGGGCGCTCTGGACTACGAGACGCGCAAGCGGGTGAGTGGAGAGAGGACCAGGACGCACTGTGTCGCTAATATTAATATTCTCTTGTGTTCTTTGTTGTCGACTGTTGAAAAAATCTGTTGGGATTTCACGAAGCTTCACTAATAACCATAACCATACCTCTGGGAATTCTCCGAGGACTTCGTCCACGGAAAAAAGAAGTTAGCTCTCGCAACAAAAAATTTGTTACCACAACAAACTTTTTTGTTAAAATAGACATAACAAACTTTTTTGCTCTTCTAACTAACGTTTTAATAGGAGGAGCTACCCCTCTAGTTGTCCCAACGATTGGTTTAGTTCCTAAAACTAATGCCGACATCGTTGTGCCACGCGTAATTTATTTGTACTGCCAACTAAATCGCTTCATTGACATTGACGACTGAGTTAATTGCGTCGACCACTTGCTGTCCCTTGTCGGAACGAGTCCTCATTTTGTTCGGATGATCCAAAAATTTGTTGGCACAACCAATTCTTTCAGTTCTTCCAACGATATAACGCTTTGCTTCATGCAATCGATTGTTTTGCTACCGGATCAGATTTTTGCCGCTCTCCAAACGAAACACTCTAGTTCTCTGATCAATCGCTAGTCCGCTGGCGCACCAAAATACCGTCGACTGTAGTGGACTATAATACGACACGAAATCAGGTAGATGAGGCGAGTGACCCGAATCGATGCCCACCGAACCGAGCACCTACATGTTCACGTTAGCAAAGATTTGAAAACTTGAGAACAAAAATGCTTGTACAACAGCGATAGCGAGCCGGTCGCCCGCCGCCTCTCCCTGCAGAACCGGGAGAGCTCGAACCTGATTCTTATATTGCTGACACTCGGTAGACCACCCGCGCAGAACTGTATCGCCAGAGCGTTGAAGCGCCCCCTATTGGCAGCGCCAAAAATTGCTGGCCGTCTGGCCGATAGAGGGCGCTTTAGTAATTTTTGTGTGCAGTCTTGCGTGGGCGGTCTAGCTAACGACAATACCATCAGAGACCGGCCCTCTTCGTTTCGCATTGCGTGGCGGACGCCCGCCCACCGTCACCCGGACTGGACAAGCGACTAGATGTGCGCTGTGCGCATGAACTCTTCTGCTGCCCGTCAACCAATGGGAGAATTGACTTTTTTAACTTTATCATACTGAATTCAAGAGCCCCCCTCCACTCTACAACACATTGTGGCAGGTGTCAGCAAAAGAGAAATTGAACTCCCATGACTAAATTGTGATTCGAGACGGCAACAAAATAATTTCACTACTTCAGCACTTATCTGCGAGTCGTAGAAGCAAAAAGCTCCCGATTTCTTTCACTGATATTTTCGTTATCGGAGCAAACCCGTTCGTCATCAGAGCAAAATAATTCGTTGTGCCAATAGAAGCGCTCTTAACTCCGACTGCGTGACCAAATTCGCTACCGTAACAAAATTTGTTCGCTATGTCTATATTAACAAAAAAATTAGTTGCCAGAGCAAAATCTTTTTTTCCGTGTCATCTCTCTCTTTTTAAAATCGTTCAGAGGGGACGCATTACGAAGCGCCCACATGTCTACAAGCAGAATTCGATATCTTAAACGGACATCGTAAAACTTTTCAACACGTGGTATCCCGCGGATTTTTCGTTTAGCACTACTACAGGGGGCCGTTCGAAGAAAAAAAAAACTTTCGCAAGTTAACTCACGACTTTCTACTTCTTAGTGAAATACCAGCAGTTTTTTCCTATTCTTTTTTTTTGGACTCTGTTGTTGTTTATACTGCTTCTTTTCCTGTCAGAGCAAAGAGTTTACATACAGGTTGACGCAGCGCTGCTCGTGCTGTGCGGCTCGGAGAAAAACGAGTGGTTTAGTCGTATCATGTCGTCCCAAGTGACGGAATGTTTTCGGGTTCCCGTGGCAGAGTGACGACATGCCGACACACACACAGCCGTCAGCCCCCCCCCCCCCCACACACACACACACAGTGCAGCCTCACGTGTTGCGGGTCGCACTCCTCCTTATGCAGTCCGGCCCTGGACGCTGAATATGTAATGATGCACCCTGGTCGGTTGTTCGGGTGGCTCCGAGGCCCGACGCGGTGCCTCGCTGTGCTCACGACGACGACGACCCCCCCTTGCGGTCAACGACCCTCTCTGGGGCCCTCTTGGGAAAGGATCACCATCACGACCACGGCCCAGCAGCCTCGGGCCACCGCACATCACCATCATTCGCATCGTCATCATCAGTAGTTTGGGTACCGTGAAGGGCCCTCGGTCGGTTACATGTAACTGGAAACGCAAGTGTGTGTGTGAACGCCACGCACTTGTAAAGCTGTATTAGTGGCCATTTAGACACTTCAGCGGGTAAAGATGTGGATTTTCCTTTTAAATTCACACACTTTTGTGCCGTACAAATGGGGCGTTCGCACACCAACAGGTGCACTCTTATGTATTCTTGGCAACAAGTATTCCACAACTTGTTTTATTGGCTGAGCTTGCGAAGCCTTTGCTGTGATGTGGGGTGCAGAGGACTCTTTGGTCGTGTGTCTGTCTGTCTGTCTGTACTGGCCCACGTTTCTCTCAGACGGTAACTTCAATTGACTTCAAACTGCGCACGAAGCTTCAGTATAAGTCGAGACGTAATGAGTTTAGTTTAGAAGTTTGATATTAGATGTTTGAAATAAACGATCGTTTAATTTGAATTCATAGTTTGGTGGCGGTAGGTTGGTAGCACGGCGCTCGAGGGGAGGGGGAGCGCAAGTGGATCCTGCGCTCACCTCAAGACTTTCATACCTTCTCAGCAGTTATTTAAATGTCAGATAGTCAAACCGAGTGTTTTGTTTTTAGTTTTAGAGTTGCGGAACTTAGCCTGCGAAGTTTCGCGAGTGTCCGATGAGAAGGAACGAAAGTGATATTTGGAATGGTTTACGTGTTTACTTACGTAAGCTGGAGGGGGCGGGGGTAGTTGTTTGGGAGAAATGTGCAAAGGTAACTATTGCGTCGGGGTCATCTTGACAACAGAAAACGAAAATGTTTTATGCGCAAAGATGATCGGAATCGATTGGCAGAGTTATGTTCAAATGTTCAATAAAGTGTTAAATCGCCTCTGGCGGCCAAACGGTGCGTCGGAGGTCAATTCTGACGGCACTTTTCGTCTCTAACCCGAAGGGTTAGCGGGTCGTATCTCGTTGAGACGATCAAAACGCATCCCTCGAACGTTCAATTTGGACCAATTTGGCCATGGCAATCCACCCATCGTTACTTGAGGGCTAATAACTTCTCCATTTCGACTCTGATCGGCTCTGAGCATAAGACATTTCCTTTTTAATTCTACAAGAGTAATCTTAATCTGGGATTACACTTTTAATTTGATAACTTTTTAAAAATCCAGATACTTTATTGGAAGACAAAATATTGGTATTCACTCGTAGAATGACTAGAAGTCATTTAATCGTACAAAAAGACATCTTAAAGGTATCTTAAACTTCCACCTTTCTTTTTTTAACAGCAATGTACTTGCAAGGGACCGAACAATATAAGAGCCACAGTCGCAACTTAGTGTAGGATAAGCCGTTCAAAAGCAGAAAGAGATGTATGATTCTCTTACGTTGACTAGATTTTTCTAGAGCCATATTATTTCTAATGATGCTGAAATAAAATAATAAGAGAATTTAAATTACATTCTATGATAAGATATATTACAGAACTTTCAATGAATAAACTACAATGACTCGTTATCTTCAAAACGCCTCAGAGGGATCAGGTGAAAGTGAATCAAAGGATGAAAAATTATATTTTGAGTATGGGAGGTGTTTCAATACATTTAATGAGATTCAAATTAATATTATTTTATATTATAATTTCACTTCATGCAGAGGCAAGTGAGGGTATTGAATAGAATTTCTTTAGCTGATTGTGACAAGGGTTTGCCATACCCAGACCCAGAGTTATACGATATTTGTTTGTCCTACTGTTTGTTACATTGTAAGTTGAATCTGCTAACAGCTGTAGAAGTCAAAAGTCATCACACTCCCACTTCCAATTACTGAGAATTAAAAATGACATCTGAAACCGAACTTTCAAACTGGTAACAAAAAAAAACAAAAAAAAAAAAACATTGTGGACTATGCTAATAACTTTAGCACATCGATTTTGAGTGCCATTTTTTTTGTTTTGGTAATTTTTACACTTTTTCAGTGCCCCCCCCCCCCACTCACCCCCTCTCCCTTTTCCTGTTCTTCCCTGGCCTTCCATCTGTACATTACTATTACTATATTCCTTTAACCGTTTCATTTGAGAATTTTAGCACAATAACGACTAAAGCTCAGCCACTACGGGCTGCTGCACGTACTCCTACGTTTACAGTGTGTGCGACATTCACACACTTGGGTTTCCGGTGTGCACGCAGAGAGCGCCAAAGGGAGCCGGTGGGGCTAGTGCTTTTAATTCGAGAGTTTTGTGTATCCGAGGGGGTTCGAGGGCGGACTGGGGCGGTGGTGGTGGTGGTGGCGCCGGCTCTCCCGTATCGCTTTTGTTAATTTGGACAGGTACTCGGGTTGCTAGAAAGGTTCCGCGTCCATCGCGGCCGTGCCAGGTGGCGTGTGGTGGTGCGGGCTGCAATGTGGTATGGGTCTGCTGCTGCTATGGGCGGGGCAGAGGTTGCCAGCTGCGGATCCCGCGCCGCCGCACCCAAGAGTTATGCGCATGGGAATTGGGAATGGGCGGGGGAGGGGGGGGGCAGTAGTACCTCCCCTTCGGATAGCAGCAGCACACACAGCGAAAGACAGAGAAGAAGTAAACACAAAGAGAAAGCAAAAAACGAATCGCGCTGCGCGCGCGTTCTAATTATCAAAAGGGAATAATGGCGAAGCAGTGTGGTGGTTGTGCAAGTCGGAAAATCGGCAGCAGTCATTTGAGCCGTGTGCCCTAACCCCTAACGGCATAAGCGCTCTTTTTGATGTCTTTGTATGGCAGCGCAGGTGACGAGTGCGCGAGGTGAGATCCGAGCTGGTGGCGGCTAATTTGAATTTAATT